TATATATACTCTTGTCGTGAGTTTAATAATTTCTATTTATGCGTGTAACCAATGTCTTAAAATATTTTCAAGGTTTTGCAAATAAAAGGAGAAGAGGTTCAACCAAGAAAGAAGTACTTATGTACTATTCTTTTAAGATTATCAATAATAAAATAATAATATAGTGTTTAATTTTCTACATTTACAATTTTTATATTTTACACTTTTTTTTATTATATTTGTAACAATTGACTAGCAACAGTCTCCAAGACTCGTGAGGTTAATAATTTCAAAATAGTAAATTTACTCGATTTTATCATGCTTTTTACAAAAAATAAAAAATAAGAAATCAGTTAGTTAACAATATTTGTCCGTTAATCAAGTCCTTAGTGTTCACATGGTTAGGTAATGCTATAATTGTTATTTAAAATTAACCTAAACAATGAGTTATATGATAACGACTAGTTGAAAGTGATTGGGGGATATATCTTATCATGACCAAGTGAAAAATATCCAAATCTTTTTGTAATTGGAGGATTTAAATTGTTAATTCCATGTGTTTTAATTTGAAATGCAAAAGGCTTAGCTACAAGTAAGGCACATGTTACAGAGATTCACACACTCATATTGATGTGTGTTAATCGGTTTAAGGTTTTTTTAGAGCATTATTAAAAGGAGAGAGAAATAAAAAAGAAAATAATAATAAAAGAATTAATATAACTTTGAGATAGAAAAGTCAACTAGTACTTAAAGTTCGTAATTTTAAGATTTTAAACTACAACCACAATTATTCAGAATTAGAAGGAGTATGGTATGAGACATCTATTATAATTTATAAGACAAAGAGTTAACATCCATAGTTGTCAAAAAGATCCAAGATATGTATTTTTTTTAGAGAGTTCACACATAAATCAACTCACATCTTTTACTACACAAATTCTTTTTTGAGATCTTCTAAATATAAGGTTAGTCGACCCGTCATATTTTTTTAAAAAAATATATACTTATATTATAAAATGTCATATATTTTATTTTATTTTTTTTTCTAAAATATGACACTCATTGAAGTGTAAATATAAGTTGAGAAAGTATATATGGAGTTAAGTTTGTTTAACAACAACCTATTTAAGTTTTGTACACAAAGACGGACTTATCGTTATAACGACTTTCTAACACAAATTAAAATTACAATTGAATGAATGGAAGATCGTTGTCCACGATAAGGCATTGCCATCCTCTATTTCCCATGAATGTGAAACCTTATCCAAATAAAAATATTGCCTTATATATATATATATATATATATATTATACCATTGCAACCACATATAATATAAGTACCACTTCATACAGCTCATGTATACAATCTATTTCCAGCAATACTTATTTTTGTGTTCTAAAACTAAATAAAAATCAAATGTCACATGTGAAGATAATTAGCACATGCAGCAACATTTAAATTGTGAAATGTATGTGAGATGTCATAAGGAGGAAGAGCTATTCACTTAGCATGTCTTAAATTAATTAAAAGTTTGTCGAAAAAAAAAAATTATAAGTTTGATGATCATATTAGATGCCATATCAAACGTAATCATGCACGACAGGTCTCGCTTTTGACATAATAATTTATGACATGATTAGACACAAACACAAATATTATTATATGATGTGGGGCAATAATATATATATATAATAACATTATATCTGTTAGTATATAGTGGCACCTTATACAACTAGATATTTTCTTGTCATATGTTGGGAATTGACACCTACAATTTGTCTAGAAAATTTAAAAACATATATTTTTTTAAAAGGAATAGTATAATTGAAGTGATTAAAAATGAATAATACTATTTTGTATATGTTTTATATAGATAATTCATATGAATATTTTATTTATATTGATTACACTTCATGTGAGTGTATGTTAAATCTAACTAGGTCAACAAATATTATGTACATGTAGATTATAGCTCCAAAAGAATTATAACGAAGAATGAAATTATTTTTAAATAATTAAATACATATAATATGACTAAATAATGAGTTAAGATTGATATAAATAATGATTTCTATTAAGCAATATTTGTGTTTAAATGCTTTAACAGGGGCGGATACAAGTATGCCATAGAGGGTTATTGTTCCCCAAACTTTTAATTTTTTTTTTATTATATATATAGACATTTTGCTAAAATTTATTGTTTCTTATGTACAGTATATATTATACATATTTTAAACATATCCAATTTATTCATATATCCCGTAATCATTACCGATTATTAAAATGACCTATGTACTAAGAATTTTTAACTATATCATATTTTTGTAAGTAATTTTCTACACTCTTTAAATATAATATTTTTATTTTTCTTTTATAATATAATAATTAATTAGTCTGAACGTACGAAATATGTGAAAAGTTGGAAAAAAAAAATTAAATAAGGGGTGGACAAAGAATTGCAAGAATTATTTGTAGAGTTAATGAGTTTAGTGATTTGAAATAAAAATATCAAACTTCAATAGTTATGTCTATTGTAGAATATCTTTATAATTTATGGTATCGAATTTAGAATTCAACTTTATGCGTTATATGCAAATAAAATGTGATATGTTAAATATATTCCTTCTAGAGGTGTTATTGAAGTTGAGTTGAATACTTATGATCAAGCTCGTGTTTGTTTAATAAATGTGTTGGCTTGCTTGACTCATTAAATAAAAGAACAAAAATGTAAGATTGCGCTCGATTCATTTAATAAGCAAATTTGATTAGTTACTCGAGTTTTCACGGGTCAATTCGAGTTATATTCGGAAATAATATTTCAAATGACAATTCTAATCCCTAAAAAAAAAAAAATTCTGAATCCGGCCATGTGCTTAAACATATGGCAAATTGGCAATGCATAGAGTGTGAGTGTGGATGAATTCTATCCTACCCCATGGGGTAGTGTCCCCATGAGGTTTTGGCCACAAATTTGCACACAATCACACACACATTCATGTGGGTGTGTGTGAAATTTGTGGCCAAAGGCACTACCCCATGAGGTAGGATAGAATTTTCCGAGTGTGAGAGGCTTAAATTTGATAGGGACCACCTCAATTTACCCTACATAGGTACACAACCCGTACAAAGTACAAACACATGCACACCCCATTTATATATTAATAATGCAACAAAATAATAATAATAATAATAATAATAATAATAATAATAATAATTAATTATTTTTGAAAATTGCAGAATTATTATATTATTATTGATCTAATTTGTGTTTGAAAATTGTCGGGCCAAACTTTATGTTTTATGTAACTTGAAACTCTCTCAAACTCGAAGCAGAAATCAGTTGGAGTGGGGTGGAGCTTTGGGGCTGATTTTGACGTGCTGGCCTGTGGGTGGTCAAGAGACTTGGGACCGTGGTTTTGGAGAGTTGGGCCTTGTTAGGCCTTTGTTGCAGTTTCAGGCTCGGTGCTCCGACCCGAGTCTCAATTTGTGGGGTGACGACTCTGGATGGTTGGTGGCATGGCGGTTTGCGGTGTTGCTTGTCAGCTGTAGAAGAAGGCTTTAGTTTAGTAATTTGTGTAGTGTTCTTTGTTTGTTTTCGGTTGTGGTTTATTTGGTTTGTGGTTTTGTTTTGTTTTTTCCTCTCTTGGAAAAACGTGTTATTCTCCTGTTAGCAGCTTTTTATTTTTTCTTTTTTTTTTTGT